GCATGTTGTAACGTCATTGTAAAGCAGTAGTTACAGCATGTTGTAACGTCATTGTAAAGCAGTAGTTACAGCATGTTGTAAAGTCATTGTAAAGCAGTAGTTACAGCATGTTGTAACGTCATTGTAAAGCATTAATTACAGTGTGTTCAGCGTAACGTCCTCGTAAATCAGGGGCGTAACCTAGGCTCTTCCACAGTCTCTCGCTCGGCCGTTCCGTCTCCACGCTTAAAGACTGTAACGGTACAATGACCGAAAGGACTTATGGGTCCCGAAAACTTGGACCCGGCATGCTTTGGGAACCAAAATACTCGTCCACAGTCTCACTTGTTTTCGCCGCATCTTGAAAATATTGAAACGAGAGAGACTGTGGACGAGTATTTTCGTTCCCAGGTGCACAGGCAATGATTTGCAGAACTAAAAAAAACAGAACCAAGAAAAAGCAGAACCAAAATAAAGCAGAAGCAAAAAAGAAAAAAAAAGAGAAAAAGAAAAAGAAAAAGAAACAGAAAAAGAAAAAGAAAAAGAAAAAAAGAAAACGGAATAAATTGCAATTTTAAAGCTTTTATGGGGGGGACCTTTAGCTTTTATAGTATGGGGGGGGGGTGCCCCTGCACCCCCCCCCCCCCCCCCGGGTTACGGCCCTGTAAAGCACAAATAATTGTATGTGGTTACTTTCTCGTAAACCAGTAACCACTGCATTTTGTAAAGCAATTATTAGTCAGCATCGTGAGCAGTATATCCTCGTAAAGGATGATCACTAGTAGTCACTGTATATCTAGATCTACCATTTTTACCTCCGATCGACGTACTAAATATTCAGATAAAACGGGAGATGGCGAGAGTTGGAATATTATTTGTATTCGGTGCCGAATGAATGTATGTTCCAGGCGTTCCATGATCAAAATGCATTGGAGAGTGGGTACTACGGACTTGACGACCTTACAACAGCAAATAAAACCTGGTACAAGCAGTTTACAACTCTTAGAAATTATTTTTTTACATTGTGCGGAATGGGTGTTTTTCCCCGTATGCAAAATATATTTACAAACATACGCGGGGACTCCAAAATATGCGGCGTCAATTGGATGTCCTATGTGCTGTATTGCATGTCATAAACTCGTAAAGTGTATATCAAGGGAAAATTTATATTTTCAAAATCACTTATATGTAAACAGTGTAGTAGTATGTTTGCAGTTTTTTTGTGTTGGTCTTCTATTTTCAGAGATATAAGCATTTTAAATATCAAAATGCAAATGATATGACGTAGATTCCAGAACGTGTTGCATTTTGTAGTGTAATTTCAACTCCTGCCTTCAGACATAGATATAAATAATCTATATAATCTTCACAACTTACAGTACTTCGTTTCCTCTCCTCTGTAGCATCACATCTCTTTAGGTTTGGTTTGTTCTCTTTGTTGAGTCCTCGAAACGCGTTTTATCTTGGCTTCCAAATTCGCCTTCCTCAGCTCATTTCAAAGATACATGCTGATAAGAATCTTCCAAGAATCCTTTGCTCTTTGCCTTTTGTTGGTTCATTAGCGCTTTTTGTTGTAGCTACATATATTAGTCTAAGGTCTAGGGCAAACGTCGAACTTTCCATGCACCGAACTCATTAAAAACAATGGATATCAGGTGATAATGAGCGGCATTCTTTGATGTAATTAAGTTCGGTGCATGGAAACTTCGACGTTTGCCCAAGGCCTAACGAACGTAATATTTTTCATAAGATTGTTCGTTTTATTTAGTCATGTCTTTTGTAGTTTCATTCTCTTGGGGATAATTAAAAAACACATTATCTCATGTCACGGATAAGGTGACATGTCATGTGTGCGCGCGTTTTGGCGCGAAAATAAAATTCCCGCCAATTCCACATTTTATCTCAAAGTACTTTTATGTTTTACACTTAAGTACAATAAAGATGTACAAGGATATTGTTTTACTTTACTTTATTCCATATATTCATATGAACCCACATTATCGTAATGACTAAACATGATATCATTGACTCAGACTTCAAAGTCTCCTGAACCTGACCCAGGCTCCTCTGTTGGCTCGACAGTAGTTGGCCGAGGTGGACTGGTGGTGGGTGCATAGACACATGTACCCCAGATCCAGTTCTTTCGACAGGTATGCCCTTCAACACATGGACAGGAAAATTTCTCCTGGAATACGTATGTCAAAGTTTCAGTTTATAAAATTTTGGACAAAATATAATGGTCAAATGTATGATACTTCTACGTGTCGTTAATAACGGCTTTCACGAGTTTGTTCTCTGGCTTTTTGAGTCTTTCTTTTAAATTTTCAATTGAAATACAGCACCGATGGTGACCAAGAGGAGGGGGGAGGTAGAGAGATGAAGAGTACATCACTGGATTATCTTAAGAAAGAACTTTTAGAACATATCATCATGATTTGCGAATTAAGTAATTTGATGGATTCTTGAAACTTGCCTGTGTTTATAGCCGCTATCTTGTTTGAGTTTAACAAAAGATTTTTCATAAGCGATTTATTAAGCGATTGAGTTTTATTCTCTTCAGGAAATGTTATCACAGGAAGCCCAAAAATTTATGTCTTCAAAGCACGACTTAAGACCTTAGTGAAATGATATCATGATAGGCAAACAAGGCTAGGCGCAAATGTATTTTGGCTTGATCTTTCCTTAATGCGTAGCACATCGTATTTTCCGAATTTTATTTTCGTGTGAACGAGAGGGCTTCCTGTGTTATAGTGGAATACAAGTGAGAGCGCTGAGTGCGCCGTTAGTCCTTTAGGCAGATATCATCCCAACCAACACCCAATAGACCTAATGTACGTTACCACCCAATTCAAACCTTCTGGGAATAGAAGCGTTTGTCTCTACGAATTCAAATGTGAAACCAAAATATGATGAACAATGAAACTGAGTCCCATGTGGTTTGAATTGGGTGGAAACGTTTATAGCAACATGTTAGCTGATTAGGCCTATCCCCGCTCCCCCCTTTTTTTTACAAGAAAACTATTCAACAAGTGAATATGTACCTGAACATCGCACCAATGACCAGGGCGCTGAAGGTAAGTACACATTCCAACTTTAACATTGTTCCATCGCTTGAGACAACACTGGTTGGAAGGGCAGTTAGACTTGTCCAGGCAGTAGCCTTGTCTTAGCTGGCACAGCCCAGGTGTCACACATTGGTGACCGAATTGACACTCGTTATCTCTGTAACACTGACGCTTCTTGCATAAGTCTATGGGATAGGAAGATAAGTAAGTTGTTCACTGTAATATACCTGGGATAGGACAGATACTCTGACTATATTTTATGTAGGGTGAAATGAACAGATCATATGCAAGAGCGGATTAAATCAGTTAATTGGGGTCATTTATGAAAAGGAACCTCCTGAATAAAGGATTGAAATCATGAACAAGACTAGGACTTTGAGTTAAGATAAAGGTGTAGGCGGTGAAGGATGTAATAAATAGGTAGACAGATACATAGACAGACAGACAGATAAACGAAAGGACGAAGGACAGAAAGGGCAGGTAGAAAGACAACTAGGCAGGGAGAGACACACATACATACTGATGCACAAACAGACACACGTGCAGAAAGGCAGGCCGGCAAGTTGAAAGACAAATGGACAGACCAAAACAGAATTTGGAATTACTAGCATACGTAAATACATTATTTTAAAAATAAAGACCATTTACTTTGGGCGAAATGTCTTCACATTTAAGACCACATGTTATTCTCTCTAGTATTGTTTTTTCTCTACTGGCAGCAATTCCAAAGATCGATACATTAATATGTATATAACTGAGTTTAAAATAATGAGGTAACATTTCGCCCAACAAGTAAAAGGCAGGATGTATCCAAACCATTAATGCAGATGTATCCCGACACTTTGCAATCTCTGTGTCTTTTGCAAGTCTGAACATAGTTGACGCACACGCCGGGTCTTTGACAGATCTGACCGGAGGGACACTGATAGTGGCGGAAGCATTGTTTTCTCTCGCACTGGTTATTCTTGCAGTAAAGGTAAGAACTTCTGCAGTGCCGGTGAGATCGACATCTTCGCTTGCCTGGCTTACACACGCGGTCACGGGTGTCGCAATAACTGTTGAGGTCGCAGTGCATGTGTCCACTACACGATCGTTTAGGATAACACCAGTACCATCTACAGAAGTATCCTGCACCGCAGTCTGATTGTCGTCTACATCTCCGCCACTACAAAAGAACATGAATAAGTTTCAAAACTACTTTGCGAAATGTCTCTAATTACGTGCTGTAGTAATAAGGGTCTTTGGGTCCTCGAGCTATTTATAGCTAATTAAAAATGCTGACGTGCGAGGTAACTGATTGACTCAATTAGTTCCAAAATTTCACACAACAGTTCGAATAGCGCAGCGCGCTGATTCTAAAAATAGCTTCGGACAAACATTGCATTCTGTTTAGCCGCTACGAGGATTATACGAACCGATTTTATTATTTTTACTTAAAGTTACAATAATAACCCATGTAAACTAAGATTAACTGCGATCGGCTGTGAAAA